TGAATTGTATGAATCAGATCAGCGGATCAAAAGTTATTAAACATTTAAGAGCAATACTTAATTTTAGCCGCGGGCGGCTGTCTCGGTCTTTAAGGGTTAAAACCGTTGATATGCAATTGTTCATGGTATGATAATCGTGCACGTTCAAATCGTGGTAGACCGTCATACCGGTATATTGTTACAACCCTAGTCCTGGCTAAAGGTCTCTCAGATTATCAGTTAACTACACATAAATAGAGAGTTAATCTCATATTAAAGCAATTTTGTTGTAAAAATAATAATTAAACCATATAAACAAAAATAACCATAAGCAAAAGAAAGCAGGAGAAAAACATATACTGTGTGACAATGGAAGAATGATCAGACGGTTAAGGCCAATTAATAATCTGTTCAAAGCGAAGGCAACCGGTGCTGCTTACAAAAAGCCACATTTGGAGCTCTTGAAAGCAGCAAGACTGTGTCTGTGTGTGCATTAGCATTACTTTTTTGCCTGCCCTGACTATTTGAAAGAGATCCGATCACATTTGCGTTCCAGGCACGGTTGCTTCAAGGAAGGAACAATAGTCGCGCGTATCACATCAGCTGTTAGCGTGACTGTTAGCCTCTCATTCTGTATTCATCTGCTTTTTTCTGCTCGTGCGAATGCAATTTTTTTGTTAGTCGTGCTGTTTCTCGATTCTAAGATCACATTTGCACGCATATTGGGTCATTCTTATAGTCGAACCCTGCTTTTAAGAAAACCACAATTTAAAAATTATTTTTAACCAGCCAAAGTGGCTCGTGGGAGTGACTGTCTAACCACCCAAAGTTGAAATCTACCCGCATTTGGCGGGTGTTAATGTAAAGCTCTGCTGCCCGGTGACTCTAGCTACAATGATAAATGGTTAACATGGATTTTATTGATATAGCAGTTGTTTAAGAAGGCTGAAAAACATCGTATATTCGTTCGGCGCCGAGTCCACTAGATCCTTTCAAAGGTGCACCCAGCTCTGGGAGTTCATCAACTCCTCCAGAAACTATGCCTGGCTGGAGGCTTTCAGCGGTGCTTCTCGAATGAGCCGAGCCCAATTTGATGAACTGTTGTCCGGTGTCGCCAGAAGATTTTTCCCCAGAACACCAACAACAGGCTGTTACAAACCCCTGGTGTTATGCTAGGGGATAGTGGGGTTTGACATTTAGGTAATTAAAATATATTTATACAAATAGTGAATAAGTGCAAAAGACAACCATAGTAATACCAAAAATATGTGCTTTTATTTACATGTGCCAAAAGAGAACAAAGAAGGATAAGTATTTTAAAGGGTCACAAAACACCAAAACACAAGTTTTGAGCTGTTGACAGTTGTATATGTGTCCCACATTGCTAAAAACACTATTAGGACACCTATATTTCACTAAAAAGTGTAAATTGGTTGTTTTCGCGTTATTTCAAGCAAATTCGTACTTCCGGTTAGAAACGAATTTTTGAAGCTGCGTCACGGTCGTGACATAATAGCATTGTATTCCAGCGTGCGCTACAATAACTTACGTGTCTAAGGAGGCACATTGTTTACCTGAGAGCTGTTCTCATCTGCAAACGCTGAGATCCGGATTCGCTTGTAACGTTAGTCTCCTCTTATTAAAGACGCAGCTCTAGTTGCTGGTGATTGTCCTGTCTCTACAGATTTGGTAAGTGAGCGACCAGCGCTCTTTGTTTATTCAGTTTGTTCGTATCGAACTAACAATTGCACCGAGTGTAAACATGTTAGCACCACAACCAAACTTTTACCTCGTGTAGGATTTTTACCGCATTTTGTGACCAGAATAACACACGCTGCTTTCTGACGCTACCTGCCGTGTGCATCTAAGTTTCTGGAAAATGCGGAGGGTTTTTTCTCTCATTCGCCTTGCGGTATCAAACATTGCATGAAAAATACACGCTTACAGCAGTTCCTCTATTAATATATCTCATTTGTCGCGAGGGGCATGACTGAATTCCCTGAATGAAAGAGCCAAACTGCAGTTAAAGTCTATCATTTAATAATTTGGCAAATAATTCGACTATAGATGTCCATGTAAACAGTCACTTTCTCCCGTGTGTGTGTGTGTGTGTTTTGACTCTGAAACTCGCGTGTACCCAAATAGACACTCCCACACCATCCCTCTTTAGTTCCTCCGACACTCCCCCCTAAACAGAGCTGGACACGCCCACTTTTCTGACTTTTTCCAAAGTAGAGGTGTGAAAACACCCTGCTGAAACGAGGGGGTTTCATGGCTCTTTAAAGAGTTTATGGCTATTTACATTATTATGCTGTTATATAATCATTATATAAATCAGGGGTGTAAAAACGATCTCAAAATGAAAATAATATTGCTTACTGAACAAATTCTGTGCCAATAAAACCGCACAACAAAAATTCCTGATCATGACAGGCCTAGCAATGTGACTATTACAGCTGCGATATGGATGCGGAAACAATAGCTCTAATATAGGTGATAAATGATAAAACTTTTATAGAAACAGACTCAAATTTGAGTCTTTATTTAATGCTGGAGACTTGTGCACTCGGCATGGACCACTTTTGTGAAGCTTTGATTCTGTGCTTTATCATTTTGGAGCTTGACAGGCCCTGTCCCTTTCCGCTTTCATTAACTATTGAAAATGGCAGCCAGCATTCTTCAAAACCAATTCACCTTTTATGTTCCAAAGGAAAAAGACAGAAAGTGAGTCGTGCAGGTTTGGAACAATTCCTTTGAGGGTGTGCTTTACTGGAGCTGACACAACATTGCAATAAGACAAACAGAAATGACAGAAAATTAGAGACTAAAGTCTGTCAGCTCTTTCTTATGCGCCCTGTAAAAGAGCAAGACTTAAAAAGCAATGCCTAGCAACTTTTGGATGCCAAGATCAGCTCCAGCATTGTCACGAGACAATGATCGCTACAAATAGACAAACACCAGGTTACATCCTTATAGATCTGCTTCAGTGTTCTGTAAGGCTTTGATTCACTTTAAAGAATCGGTTCATAGGGATTCAAACAACTTACTGCACATTTTCAACTACTCAAGTGACTTCTAAATGATGTGTTGGGAAACCAAGTTATACTAATCCACATTTGATCCAGATATGAGTCGATACAAAGAACTAAGAATCATTCGGTGAAAAAGTCAGATGAACACAAATCATGGTTTGATTGATTACAAACGACTCATAGGAATCACTTGATTCTGAATCGAACTAACACTACTAATCAAGCAGTTTGATTTGATTCAGTTTAAAGAACCAAATAATATGAATCATTAAATCACCCATTCTGCTGTATGAGTGTTTTCCAGTAGTGGGTTGTAGCTGGAAGGGCATCCACTGTGTAAAACATATGCTGGATAAGTTGGCAGTTCATTCCACAGTGGTGACCCCTGATGAATAAAAGGACTAAGCTGAAGGAAAATGAATGATAAATGAATGAAATGACAGAAAATTAGAGACTAATGTCTGTCAGCCTTTTCTTATGCGCCGCGTAAATGAGCAAAACTTAGGCCTAGCAACTCTTGGTTGCCAAGATCAGCTCTATATCACGACAAATGATCTACAGAAAGAAACACACCAGGTTACATCCACATAGATCTACTTCAGTGTTCTGTAAGGCTTTGATTCACTTTAAAGAATCGGTTCATGGGGATTCGAACAACTTGTTGTACATTTTCATCTACTCAAGTGAATTCTAAACGATTTGTTAGGAAAACAAGTTATACTAATCCACATTTGATCCAGATCCGAGTCAATACAAAGAACCAAGTCCAGGAACCATTTGCTGAGGAAATAAGATTAACACAAATCGTGGTTCGATTGATTAGAACAGACTCATGAGAAATCACTCGATCACGAATCGAACTAACACAACTAATCAAGCGGCTTGATTTGATTCACTTTAAAGAACTGAATAATATGAATCATTAAAATCACCCATCCTGCTGTATGAGTTTCCCAGTACTGGGTTGTTGCTGGAAGGCCATCCGCTGTGTAAAACATATGCTGGATAAGTTGGCGGTTCATTCCACAGTGGCGACCCCTGACGAATAAAGGGTCTAAGCCGAAAGAAAATGAATGATAAATTAAATGACAGAAAATTAGAGGCTAATGTCTGTCAACTTTTTCTTATGTGCCCCATAAAAAAAAGAGCAAGACTTAAAAAGCAATGCCTAGCAACTCTTGGTTGAAAAGATCAGCTCCAAATCACGACAAATGACCTCTACAAAAAGACAAACACCAGGTTACGTCTATATAGATCTGCTTCAGTGTTCTGTAGGGTTTTGATCTTTAAAGAATCGGTTCTTAGGGATTCGAACCGCTTGCTGTACATTTTCAACTACTCAAGTAAATTCTAAATGATTTGTTGGGAAAACAAGTTATACTAATCCACATTTGATCCAGATCCGAGTCAATACAAAGAACCAAGTGCACGAATCATTCGCTGAGGAAAATGATAAACACAAATCATGGTTCGATTGATTAGAACCGACTCATAAGAATCACTCGATGGCGAATCGGACTAGCACTCCTACTCGAGAGGTTTAATTTGATTCACTTTAAAGAACCAACTAATAAGAATCAATAAATCACCCATCGTGTTGTAAAACAGTCTAAGACAAACTGTCAAGTGAAAAAGGGAAAAATATTCACCTTCAATGTTTAAAAACCGTCTCTTTATGAAACGGTTCTCGTTTTCCAACGCTTTGTGGTAACACATCTCTCAGCGTATATCATAAACACCACACCACCATCATGAAAATACGTGTAATTCCATCAAAACTGCTTCCAAATCGCACAGAAATTGAGATAACATAAGTCCAGACTAATTTGTTATGAGATGTCACGTAAATGCCAGTAATTTCCTGCCTTTACATCCAAGTTGCAGACAACTTTGACTCTGAACTTCAAAACAGATCAACAGATATAAACACCAGCAATAAACGTCGTTTCTCTGCAAATTCATGTACCCTGACAGCAGGTAAAAACTCACTTTTATGCTTTCCAGAGATCCAGGACTGTTTCGCCAGACTGGGACTGCGAATGATCGCGCGTCCGGCTGATTTTAGCGCGTCCATGACAGAAATAGCTCAGTTTATTGTGGCGATTATTAATCCTGAGAGCGCGATCCCCCGGCGATCCTTCAGCCCGAGCGAACACGAGCCTCTTCCCGCAGGAAAACTTTTCTGACAGCCGCTGATATTCTTCCTTTTCCGCGGATGATCCCGGGTGGATGCACGGACATGCTCGCCACGGCGGGCGGAGCTTAGTATGTAAATTGACCGGATAATGTACAGTCATGACGCGGCGGCGAACGGGCGAAGGGCGGGGTTTGACTATGCAAAATAACCAGCTAATGTAACGGGGGCGGGACTTCAGTGGATACATAAATACACTGGCATTGAATCTATGCATGGAACAAACAATTAGCTACAAAAGACAAACATAATATAGATCAGATACAGGACGTAAAAAAATATTATTAATAATTTACATTCGTGATTATGGGTAAAACATAGAAATTGCTTTATATATATGAAGACAAATAAATAATAAACTAAGGAAAATTATAGTAATCAAACCCATTTCTGTCATGAAGCAGTTATTAAAAGTATGTTGTTGTAAAATTGATTACTTGAATAAATAATGTATTCTGATATCAGCAAAAAGGGTACTTATAACTGTATATGGTTATTAAAGTTTGTAACAATTGCACATTGTACAATCAAAAAGTCTTATGACAGAATTATTTGTTTACAATAAATAAAAAACACAATTTAATTTTGAGTACATTGTCATGTAGTAGCTATTAAACATTTGTTACACAAATGTTTACAATTATACACCGGTTTAATTGAGTTGTGATTTAATAAACATTTTTATGTCACGGTACAATTGCAGAGCTGGAAAGTAGTTATAAAAAATAACTTAAGATTGTTGTTAATAGAAAATAAGATTATAATTAGATATTATAATAACTATAATCATAGTCATTAAGCAAACTATAATAGCCAATTTTGTTGTGTAAAAGAGTAATATATTAATAGCCAATAGTGTGTAAAAAGTAATATATTTTTAAGCTCAATTTAATAGCCTTTTTAATTTTAAATTTAATGGGCAATTTTATTGTATTAAAATAGTTTTATTAGCCAATTTTGTTTTGTGAAAAAATAATATATTACAAATTTAAGCTCAATTTATAAGAATCACTCGATCATGAATCGAACTAACACTACTAATAGAGAGTCTTGATTTGATTCACTTTAAAGAACCGAATAATATGAATCATTAAATCACCCATCCTACTGTAATGCTTTCCAGTACTGGGTTGCAGCTGGAAGGGCATCCACTGTGTAAAACATATGCTGGATAAGTTGGCGGTTCATTCCACTGTGGCGACCCCTGATAAATAAAAAATATTATTAGCCAATTATGTTTTGTAAAAAAAAAAATAACATATTACAATTTTAAGCTTAAATTTAACAGCCAATTTTGTTGTGTAAAAAGAGTTATACATTCATAGCCAACTGTGTTGTGTAAAAAGTAATGTATTTAAATTTTAAGCTAAGTTTTTTTTTT